TACTCTTCTCATAAATATATATATAAATATGTATGCAACGAAAATACTTTATAAAGATTTCTTTTGTGATTTATTTCGAAAGGATTTGTTGACAATCATGCTGTCATTCTTTGCATGAGTGACGTCACTTTTAAGTGCGTGTTTACATTTTAGAAATTACATTGTTATTTGTTATACAATTTTAGATAAATATGGATAGGCATATAAACATATGAACATACTCGTACACATGTGCGCAAGTGAATAATTGGAAAATAATAAATACTCGATTTTCATTGAATATTTCATTTATTGATTTCATCTGCTCCACCTTCAACTACTTTCACATTTATGCTTCAAAATATTGTACATTTACACAAACATACTGGTATGAATGCATAGATAATATTTTTCTTATTTATTTATTAACTAAGAATTATACTTACTTAGTTGCGCAGTTCTATTTATTCGTCGCGCTCATGGCGAACCAGATATGCGTGATTTAATGAACTTGTCCAAGTTCGCCTCGAGTGTGTCATCGCTATTGCAGCAGAAAGCATAAATTTAACTGTGCGGTTAATAAAGTAGATTATTTTATCATAATTTTCAATAACTTTTGTTTGGTTAAACACGAGTTGAAATCAAATGATTTAATAAAAAATTTCAAATTAAATTTATGCAGATTATATTAGAAAATATGTTTGTTAGTTTTTACAAATATGAATTTGTCACCAGCAAACGTAGTAAAAGCTAAAACAGTAGTGAGAAAAATTTAACTAAAATCAAAATTATTTCTCAGTGCAATATAAAAACAATTAGCTCGCGTCCTAAGACCGTAGCGTGGCGTCCAAGATCGTGCGATTCAACACCGCTTAAACTTTATTTTGTGGAGTTATATAAAGTCGTTGGTCTACGCAGATAAGGCCGAGATAATTAACGCCGTGAAGGAGAATATTCGCCACCTTATTGCTGACATATGACCCCAATTGGTGCAAAAAATGATCGAAAATTGAGCCAGCTGTAATTTATTCCAGCGGCGGTTACTTGTTCAAAATCATGTGGGACATTGCACGTTGGAGACAAAAACAAGTCGTTCAAATGACAATATCGAAGAAGTGCGTGAGAGCGTCGGTGACAATCCAATAATCAGCGCCGTGCACAAGAATTGCACAAACTTCCGGAAGCTCTTTACAGCGTATACTCACTGAAGATCTGCATCTCCATGCTTACAAAATTCAATTAACAGAAGAACCGAAGGCTTATGACCATGTTCAGCGATGGATTCTGATTTTCACCCTGATGGGCTTGTTGATCGCCAAAGTTGCCGCTTTTGAGGTTCTGAGAACCATTAAATGCATGCACAAAATCCACATTTATTTTCTCCAATTATCTATGGAGAATTTCGACAAACGAGCGCGAGTGTCAAATATCCGCTTTGTCTTCCGCTTCCGCTTTTTTGCTCTTCATTCAATGCTTTATAAAAAGTGTTACAGTGATCGGATTTAGTTAAAATATGCGCCGTTTTGTTCGATGATTTGTTTCCATCTGGACGGCAACTTCATAATACCTTCCTCGTAGAAGCCCTCCTCCTTATTTGCGAAGAATTTGGACAACCACTTTTCACAAGTCTCTTTTGAGTTCAACTTCACACCACCAAGGGCATTCTCCATGGACAGGAACAGGTGGTAATCACTTGGCGCTACGTCCGGGCTATATGGTGGATGCGACAAAACCTCCCATCCGAGCTCCCGTAGCTTCTGACGAGTCATCAACAAAGTGTGTGGTCTGGCGTTGTCCTGGTGAACACTACACCCTTCCTGTTGGGCAATTCTGGACGCTTCTGGTCGATCGCCTGCTTCAAGCGGTCCAGTTGTTCGTAGTAGATGGTAAAATTAAGCGTCTGGCCATATGGGAGCAGCTCATAGTGGATGATTCCCTTCCAATCCCACCAAACACACAGCAAAACCTTCCTGGCCGTCAATCCCGGCTTGGCCACTGATTGGGACAATTCACCGGCCTTCGACCACGACCATTTTCGCTTGATATTGACTCGGTCCAGAAGGTTTTTTTGCGTTAAATTATGCGGCACCCAAACATCAAACTTTTTTTTATGTCCAGCCTTCTGCAGATGGTTCAAAATGGTTTGGTGACTAACTCCTATCTCCTGGGCGATGTCACGAGATGCCATATGCCGGTCTAACTTGATGTATTCCATGATTTGATCGGTATTTGTCGTCACAGGTCTTCCGCCGGCTGGCTTATCCATGATGTCGTTTTCACCGGCTCTGAAATGTCGAAACCATTCCTCTGCGGTTCGAAGTGATAGTGTACCATCTCCCAAAACACCATTGATATCTCGGAACGTTTCTGTAGTGCTTTGTACATAGCCACGAAATTCAAAAGACAAAAAAGCGGATATTTGACAACCTAATATATGGAAGGGCGTGGAGGTAATTTCTCCACTATGTTATTCCATAAATAGCCCAATTCAATGTACTTTATGGTACAATAAACAATTACAATCGAAAGACTAAAAACTGTGCCCTCTATTTAATTCCAATCTTGCATTAATTTTGGAAAAACACTTTTTTAGATAATTTTTTTAAGATCTAAATAATACCATCATTTTAAAATATCAGCGAAATATCGAAAGAGCACTTAACCAGCAACTTTTCGGTCGATTAATTCTATTTATATCATGAAGATATTTCTGCAGAGGCCGAAACGTATATTAGTCAGATTGAAGTTCTTTTTCCTCAGTGAGAATTTTATTTCGCTATCTTTCGGGCACCAACTTAAGGCCATATAAATAATAAATTATCAAAAGCGAATATAATCACGTTGCGTCGAAAAAAAATTGTTGCACTCCAGCGGTATCACATAACAAAAGTGATTTAATCGATTAAGCTTGTATTCTTACAAAGTTTCATAATAAAAAATTATGTATAAACATATGAGGTGTGTTCAAAAAGTATCGCGAATTTTGAATTTTCGCGTATTACGTACACGTATAATCGAATTTCGATTTTTTTGTGGCGGCCATTTTAAATGTTCACTTAATTGTTGAAAGCTGCTTTGCTTGCACGTGTTTTGGATGGTCTTCGATTTTTACCTATTCAAAAAAATGCATCAGAGAACCTGTATCAAATTTTGTGCGAAAAACGAATTTAATTACGCGGATGCATTCCGAATGTTGACTGTGACGACATACGGACAAGCTACCATGGACTGAAGCAACATTTATCGGTGGTACAAAATGTTCTCAGAAGGCCGAGAAGATGTGAACGACGAAGAGCGTGCCGGACGCCCGTGCACTTCAACAACAGACGAAAAAATTAATTGCAGGGACTTGGTACATCATGAGTTCTTGCCACAGGGTAGAATGGACAATAAGGAATATCACCTGCAAGTTATGCGCGAAGCAGTCCGCCAGGAACGCCCGGATTTTTGGAAGAACAAAATTGGCTTTTGCACAATGATAACGCCCCTACTCACACATCGTTGCTTGTGGGCGACTTTTTGGGCAAAAACAACACACAAATGATGCCGCAGCCACCGTATTCAACAGATCTGTCACACTGTGACTCTTTCTTGTTCCCTAAACTGAAGAGGCCCATGTAAGGACGACGTTAGCTACGATTGTCGAGATAAAGATGGCATCGAAGGACGAGCTGAACAAGATAAAAAAAAATGATTTTTTGAAGTGCTTCGAAGATTGGCACAAGTGTATAATATCTCATGGGGACTACTTTGAAGGGGACAAAATAGATATTCATGAATAAATAAATAATTTTTGAGAAAAACACAAAATTCGCGTTATTTTTTTAACACATCTCGTATATATATATATATATATATATATATATGTATTTATTTAAGAACTTTAAATTCATGTATAATAGTAAAGTTCAACGACTAACGAATGCTAGTAGAATGGTGTTATCAGCTTTAGGGTATTAATAAAAGTAAATATAAAAATAAAAAAAAATCATAATCAATGAGTATTATCAGTTATGAAGTACTTGCAAGCTAATAAAAGCAAATATAAGTATTATTGGTTGAACTATTGAAAAAACATTGAGTATCATATACACGTTAAGGTGTCTGTCATTAAAGAAAAAAATCTCTAGTAATATTGCTTTGAACTTCAGCGCTTGTTTGACTTCAGCGCTACCTGAGAAGTTCTTTTTCTGTTTTATTTAACAATTTTATTATAATTTTTTGTTTAAGAAATAAAATCTTTTTTTTTATATTCATCTTATTTTAAGCAACTACAAGTGTTTCCAAAATTTATATCTGTATTATAAAACTACTGAGTTCTCTTTCAACCTGTTACAGTAGTTTTATTATACAGAAAAAATACATATTATACTTAAAAAAAAAATTAAAAATAAAACAGAAAAAGAACTTCTCTAGGTGCCTGGACATAACAACATACCATATAATGAGATGACGGACGAACTTGCTACGAAGCGCACTTCCCTTTGAGAAGCCTAAATGTGTGTAGTGCGGCCAAGGCAATGTGGCCAGGATGGGACAGAAAATAGAGAAGATTTCTACAGTTATAGATCTTCTAACACGGCACTCCCTATGGGGCATGAGCGCAGAGAGGTTGGCGTACCAGCTAACGACTTTCGCAGAAATTGCAAACAAGAAAAGGAGCCTCAAAACTTAAAGCACTCCCTCTACGAATTCCCCGCCCTTTGGAGGAGTAGTTTAAAGTCTCTGAGATACAACGATTGCTCATTAGGACCCTCAATGGTATCACAATGTGCCGGTTTCGGTGGACCAATCAAGACTACTATTCTAGTTGTTCCCATCTATGTCGAATGATTTGTCTGATGAAGAATAAGCGTCAAGATTAGCCTATGAAAATCATTTGTTCCAACTTTTTGCTAATGTTTTGTTTTTCATTACTTCTGAAATAGCAAACAGTTATTCAATTTACTGTAAAAATAATGGGTGAATTATTACTTAGCCTACATTTCATATATTTTTTAAATTAATTTTTAAAATTTTCTTAAAATAAATTCACTAATTTTTTATTGCATAAATTATTTACAGCATTCATTTCATAAAGCATACAAACAAAGATATGTATGTATGTATTTATAGTACATATTTGTATTTCTGTTACACTTTTCATTTAGTTTTCACTTTGCCGCTTTGTTTGCCTTGTTTACAGAAAAATCCACACAAAAGACGTAAAAACGCGCGAACAATGTACAGAATCACCGCCAGACCAAGCAATATAATGGCCACGCTGTCCAACGAATAATAGACGAACCAATTCAATTTTACTGCCTTTGTCTGCAACAATTTATGTGCGGTCTTGCCATTCTCCTGTAGCAAGTGTTCCACCCACCAAACGGCGCGATCTAGCGGTTTCTTGTCTTGATGGCGGAACATGTGCGACAATGCAGCGGCGTGATCGGCATAGCTTCGGGAAAGAGGGAGAAGAACAATAGATGCAATACATATACACATACTTGTACGTATATATGTAATCATACAATTTTAAAGTACTGACTCACCTCTTGCGGCGAATCTCCATGAGTGTCGCTCTTAAGTTCTTTTCATTAATATCATCGAAGAGTAAAATGGTGCCCACACCACGATTCTGCACGGCATTCGCATTGACACTTTGATCGCCATAAAGTGGTGTAACAATTAACGGTTTGCCACAGTAGATATTCTCAGTGGTGCCCAGCAGGCCGCCGTGACCCCAGAAATATTTCACTTTTGGATGGCCTGGAGGAAAGAGAAATAAACAAATTTGTTATACAAAAGCAATACTGTATATACGAGTATGCACATACATATAAGCAATTATAAATGGCTATAAATAAATAAATTTTACTCCTCTCACTCACATATCAAACTCAATTGTGGCGCCCATTTAACGAATAGAAATTTTTTACTCTTCGTTGGCACTTCGTCCGTTTCCCATTTCCAAATCACATGGAATGGTTGTTGTTCGAGTACTTTTACAATGGTTTGCACTTTCTCCGTCGGCATACTCGATGAACGCACCATGGAGCCCCAGCTGAAGAAGAGTACACCCGCCAGTGGCGCATTTTTCAGGAATTTTTCAATTTTCGCTGGCAGGGTTGCGTTCACAGCGGTTTCGTCAATATGTATGCCACCCATTTCGACGAGTTGTGGTGTTAACGGTTTATTACCATGCAAGGTATAATGTTGATTGACAAAAATGAGACCGGTGCTGCGTTTGGCAAAATCATCAACATCAAAATCAACATTCAAATATTTATTAATGATCCTGCGATCGTAGTAATTTGTGCGGTAACTGAAAAACAAAAAATGTTCGAAAATTATAATTAACTATATATAGTCGATTCCTTCAGCGCAGATATTTTACTGTGTTTGGCTCATTGTGTGATGATCCTACTAGGTCTGAGCCGATCAGTACGGCAGGCTTGAGTCTTTCACACAAACTGCGAGATCGGGTCTTATATGCGATATTGAGAAGAATAATCCAACCTTAATTGGAGCAGAACTGTCGCCGATCTCCACAGAACAAACTGACTCTCACATGGCTTTCTTGTGCCTGAGATATCGAGGGAAACTGTAAGGCGGATGAACTTGCTAGGCGAGGTACGATCAAACAGATTCTTCTAAATAAAGAACGCATTGGTATGACTTTTCCTTCTAGCAAACTGCCTCTCAAGGAATTCATCTATGAAGGAACTCATCTACAAGGTGGAATGATATTACAACCTGCCGCAAAACCAGGCACACATGGCCAAAATGAGATAAGAAGAGATCACGAAATATGTACTCCTTAAACAGAAGTAACAGATCCAAAGTTATAGAAGTTCTTACTGGCCACTGTAGCTGACGCCAAAGCCATGGATCTAATGAGGTTCAATATGAATCAAATGTGGTATCACAATGGGCCTAACTAATGACTGATCGATAGCCACTGCAGCCTAACGTAATTGAAGCAGATTGTAAAACCTTTATTTTTAAATATTGAGTACAGTTTCGTCGGGCCTGCTTTCGACCTACCAAAACTCTGCAAAGTAGTGGGTGTATGCAGTTTGTCAGCTTTTCGCTGGCTCATTTGAACAGCGGATAAGTCACTGACTCCCGCCGTTTTGTTATTCTTTAAGCAGGCTGGAAAAGTGTTCTTTCCAAAACTCAATATACTTTGTATGTCAGTCACCAGATTCTATTCTTGTTACTCCATGAAAGAGCTCCTTTCTTGAAACAGCCTCATTATTTTATAGAACTTTCGAGCATGTCCCTGTTGGTCATCTTCTCAAGTTCTTCTCACTCATGAATTTCAGCCCCTCTTTTTTGAGTCCGCAAATGAGACTCGCTTACCTGTTGAACTCTCAATATCTTACCCCGACCGTTCGCGTTGCGAGCCGTCGCAGGTCCAGCTGGCTTCATATTGTAATTGCAACTTTTCGACCTCGAATCTTGCAAGTGTTTAGAGTTTATGGGCGTTCTTTATTGCTGAAGTTTTTTTGCGTCGGACAATAGAGTATCACATACAACCATTCACTGGGTCAGAGTTGACCGGTCTCAGCTTGTTTGGGATGTTTCGTCAAAGAGAAACCCTAATAAACTAAAATACCTCCTCTGCTCAACCTCACTTTAAAATTGCCAAACACGATTTTTACATTGAAAAGGAGGCCGCGCCCGTTTGTGCAGCCCAAGCGCGTTTTGATGGGGATTACGGCGAGAAGTTCGTTTACCGTGGAAAACTATAGTGTTCGATTTCTCAGTCTGACTGCCACTGCATATCCAACAACACCAACACCAAACTCAGCTCTAGTTTTGTGATGACATCAACAAGCCTAGCAATGACTCCTTCTCAATTAAGGAACCGGACATTTCACGTGCTTTCCCAGCGTATAACATTGCTACTCACGCTAACGATAATTTTGAAAAGTACGAAAAGAACTCAGTAACTAAATGTGCAATTAAAGTCATTTTTCTTAGGATCGATTCCATTAAAAGAAAAAATATGAAGAGTGGAAAAATGTCGGGTGGGCGTGGCGAAAGCATATCTCAGAAAACACTGAACAGAGTTCGATAATTCCCATTGGACAACAATTATCGATTTTTTACTTTTCAACCTCCATTTGACACAGGACAAGACCGACCGAGACCAAATTTGGTAATTATGTTACTTGAATTAGTCCAAATAACTGCGAAAAATACTAACATGAGTCCACAAACTAGCCTAGCTGTCATATGATAGGCCTTAAGTACACATTAGAAGAGAGTTCTAAGAAAGACAGGTAAGCTGCCGGAGATTTGGCCGCCCTCACCTTTTTACAATATCATGATTCAATGGGATACTAAGAACGAAATTACGAGCTCCGTCCGCAACTCGGCTTAACGTATTTTTTCCATAAGTAAATTCGAAGCACTCAAACCCATAACTTACCGATAATAACTCTTGATCACCTTCGATTGTATGAAATTCAACAAACGTTCGTGCCAATTCAACTCCTCGGGAAAACCAACGAATTCGGATTGCACATAAGAGGGGAAATCGGGCAACACAATGCGATCATAGTAGTAAGGCATTAGCAAACAACTACTCAAGCCGACTACCGGCACATTCAGCAAGTAGGGTATGCCCATCTGACAATCCGTATTGAAATACTCAGTGATAACCAAATCGAATGGCTGCTGCTCATGTCGTTTCAAAATCCTATCGACATGACCGCTCTTATAGAACAACTCGCACGATTTCTGACCTTCGCTATGCAACAACTCTGCCTCTAGCAAGAGATAATGTAATGGACGACGCGGCAGCACATTATCGAATGTAACCAAATTCCTTGTATCTTGACCGGCCAGCAGTAGCTCTTCATAATTAACCGGCTTCGTGTCTTCCGGTGCCTTTATATGGGTCACCACTGTAACATGATGACCTTGTTCGGCGAGTGTGCGTAAAAGTGGATAAAAGACCTTAAAGTGACTGTAGCCAAAATGTTGGAAAATGCCGAGTATATTACCGCCCGCGGCCAATGGCATTTGGCTGGCCGAAAGCGTCAAAAGAAAATAAATCAATAACATTGATTTAGTGGACTTTACACTGTTGTTGTTGTTGTTTCTTTTCATATCAGCTGTTCGCTGGTTATTCGCACGTAATTCTTATTATTATGTATATGTGAGTGTGTACATGTATGTTTGTGCGCGTAATCAGTTTTCTCACACTTTCTTGCACTGCTTTTTTTATTTTTTCTTAATTTTTCTGTAAAATTTTTTAAATAATTAATTCTCAATTAGGTGAAATTCAATTTCTTGCACTAAGAATCCGACCTACACGTGTCACCACATGCCGGCGCTTACGCGTTTAGAGAAACCTAAAAAGTCTGGGCTTTATTTAGCTTTTCTCTCTCGGGATGTATTGACGCGGTCGCGGTCTTCACAAATACTGACCGCAAAAGCTATTAGATCGTTTTTCTTCCCCCAAAAACGATGAGCATAATAATATGTAAGTATGTATGTAGGACCATATCAATAAATACGATTAATTTACACATACATACATATACACATGAACGCGATCCTCACATCGCTCGATTGCTATCTATATATAGGGTCCGCCATCTAACTTTTTTTTTTGAACTAGTGGTTATTTTGAGTGTGGTAACACTGATGTTACATCTGATTTGACAGAAAGTTAGTTTTATCCTTCCGCTGAACGAAAATGGTTGTGTATACGATTGAAAACGCGTTAAAATAGTGCAGTTTTACTTTGAAAATGTGTGCGAAAATTATGCACGGAAATGAGCCGTAACAAAGCACCGTCCGCTCCGTATGTGAGCTTTCTTTTGGAAAAATTGAGAAACCAAAAAAAATGCGTACTGCCGGTAATATCGCTGCTGTGGCCGAGAGTGTGCGTGAGGCGCCCGGAACATCAGTGAAGCGACGCTCTCAACATCTGGACATTTCCGAGACGTCCCTTAGGCGAATTTTGAAAAAAAAAACCTTGGTATGACACCGTACAAAGTTCAATTGGTTCAAGAATTGAAGCCAAGAGACCATCCGATGCGGTTTGCCTTTGCCGAATGGTCATTTGTTTTATTGCATTAAAAAAAAAAAAGTTACGTGGCGGACCCTGTATATATTTATGTATACGTGTATATACTCGTGTATATGTAAATTCATTTTGTTTGGTTCTCTTTAGCCTACATATTTACTACTCGTATTCCCGAGAGAGTTTCCATTACTCTCTGCGCCAAAAGCGGAAGGTACGCAAAAATACAAAGTATTTGTTTATATTTTGGTGTCGTAAATAATATTTTGCCTGCCCACTCTATTTACTTATGTGATTTGTTTATATGTATATAAACATAAATTACGCTGAGTACAAAAATAGCACATCTCAAAAATTATTAAAAATCGATTATTTTTATAAAAATGTGACATACTAGTATGTATGTGAAGAATATCTACATATCTAACTTTTTTTTATTATGTTTTTTTGTTTTATGTCACCTGACTATACTCCGACTTTTTAGGTTATGTTGCCTGTGATAGTATAAAATAAGAGAGGCATAAGGACCTAATCCGGAGAGTATTTAATCTCGCCACACGATGCTGACACTATTGTCTGAGATATTAACATTCGGGATGCCAGGTTTTGAGTCCTGAATCGACCAATATTTCAAAAATTATATAAAATTTATTTAAATAAAAATTAAGTAAATTTTTCTAATTGCGGTCGCTCCTAGGTAGGCAATGTCAAACCCTTCGATTATTTTTTTGACATGAAATTAAGTTTACTCATAGATTCCGTCAGCCATACGAAGGCGGCTTAGTATAAATGAAAGTCTCCCTATTTGTTGACAAAGGATTAAAATGTACGCCACATATCAGAGGAGTAGGAGCTTGAACGAAAATCGCTTCAACAGTTACAAGCCCCCATTCGTTTCTCCTTCTATAATGAGATACACATAGTTAACCCAGATCTTTCTCTCAAGGTCTTCCTCTTTCCCTGGAAAGAGACATAATTAGCCAACGTAGCCGCTGAATCTAAATTTGCTGGACTATATCAATGTCGTCGCTTATTTCGAACAGCTCATTGTTCTGTCATTGGCGTTATTAGTCGAAGTGCGCTTAGAGTACACAAGGAGATCCAAAATTAAAAAACTTTTCTTTTACCTTTCTCGGCTAAGAGGGTGTAATTAAGTTTACCCCTCCTTCAGTTACGAGTGCATGGCTATTCGCATTTCCTATTCCCATATCTTTGTCGTACATTCTGGAATCCAATTCGGCATATTCAGTTTAGAGGTTCGCTGAAATCAATTGCAACATCAGCTCACCAGAGGTGCGGCTGCAAGCTAGTGTTGCTTTACAAGCGACCGGCCAGATATGCCAATGTGCTTTAAGTAAAAAAGACTATTTCTATTATTATGCTGGGGATCGGAGGTTTAAAAAATTAGCTCCGATGAGCTTCAAATTCTTATGACGGCTACGGCAATTATTCAAAGTTTAATGCGTCTAGAATTTCCAGTCCCTTAATTGTGAACATAATCGTTAAAGTTACAGCTGACATCACCCCCGTCCAAGTGCGGCGATGGACGGGTCAATAATGGTAAGATATGGATTTTTGTGAAATATACAAAAACCACATAAAGAACAAATTTAATCTTCTTGTTGAATTTGAAGCTGAAGGGTGTCGCCGTTTCTATATAATATGATTCTCCTCTGTATAGGAACGTCTTGCCACAGCCCGAGCTTAAATCTTTAAACATATCGCTGATTTGCTCCCTCGCCGCGACGAAAGAGTTGGTCTTTATAATGAAAGATACCCTCTTTGGGCGCCTTTAACGCATCTCCGAGCTCTACCCCCGCAATAATATCAAAAGCATGCTCCTTGGCCTGTGGAGACTGCATTCGAACACACCATCAGCATCATCTCTTTCCAACAGGTGTAACTTTGAACTGACAAGGCAACTGGAAAGTGAATACCTACCCGACCTGCTATATGTGCAGAAGCATGGGCGATGATAAGCTCGGTTGTTTGGGCTCAACAACTTTTCTAAAGGAAAGCTTGTGATAAATTTATAGACTACGAACAGCGAATCGTAGAGCTGATATACTCGTAGATATTGAGCGCTTTAGCAAACTAAGAGGCAGAGGCTACACTGGCTAGATCATTTTTCCCGGATTAATGGAAATCTTTAGCTTTGAAAGTATTCGGTGTTGTATCAGAAGAGGGACCTTTCTTCACTTGATGTCTTCAGTTTGCGTCGAAAGAAACGAATATTGTGATTGTTTATGAATTCTCTGATAGCCATCTGTTCTAAGCCTCTACATGTTGTTATCTAATGCACTTATATGCATATAATATATATGTACATACGCACGTTACATATAGGAAGATAACAAACACAAGCCATATTTTATCATAACGTTTATTAGGGGCTGCAGGGAGAACTAACGCCGAACCTCAGCACACATACAAAAAAACAACTAAAATTTTTATGTAATTATTGTTTTTTTGTAAATACATACATACATATGTATGTATATACGAGATACTACAAATAAAAGTGATGTAAGTCGATTTTCTTTATATTTAGAAATCACAAAAGTTTCAAAAATTGGATGAAAATTTTATTTAACGGCTGCAGCAGCCTAGTGCATGCCTATATGTGCTGAATGTCATGAACCAAGTCCTGGCCAAATCAATATTTAAGAAATTTTAGAAGCTTCCAATACCTTCGAGTACATTTCGGCTATGAAAGTAAACGCTTCTCTACAAAATTTATCCTCTAAAATTCATCACAAGAGAGGTTCACATCTCCAATTCTAACTCTCCATTTGTAGGAAGAATATCAAGAAGCAGTCTTCATATCGTAGTCACCTTCGGACTTTAGTTAGTCAAAATGGATGGAGAAGAGAAGTGCAACGTTTATTTGTTGGTGTAACGGCTCTTTAACCTTAATTCGGAGCACGAAAAACTAGTCGATGCCGTCGGGGTACTTTAATGGGAGGCCTAGTGAAAGTGCATTTTCGACGAATTCGCACCAAAGAAGGGAAAGTGATGGTTGGTTGAAAGAGATGGTTAAGGACCTGACTTCGGTTGAACGCACCTATGTCATTGAGTGGGCTTATTGCACGGTTTCATGAATTATTTCCTTTTCATCTATTCTGTCGCACCCATCTCCAAAAAGCTGGTGCCCAGAGCACCGCAAAATTATTTCTCCTCTCAGACCACTGAAGGTATGGCACTCTCATAGTCGACTCCGCCGATTCAACTCTACCTAGCTTTTAGATATGATATCGTAAGAGTTGATGTCCTGCCTACAAGAATGCTTAGTTCTATTTTGCTAGCAAGAGTTTGCTGTGTCTGTAATCTACAGTACCGCATGCCCTACGTTGTTGTTGCTCCCGAACCTTAAGTGTCTGCCTTGGTTCTACTGTTTTAAATGTTGAAGGCGCTGAAAGGTCTTAGACAGTCGTTGGTTATAGCCTCGTTGGCGAAAACAAGGCGAGTAAACTAATCCGGCTTTTAATTACCTTCCACATTCCTCCGAGCTGGGACACAAGTAATATTCACTGTGTTATTGCCTGTTCCCATGTTCTCACACTCTTAAACTTTATGTTGACTCATTTAATTGCCTTAATTGCCGCTTGGTTGTCAACAAGAAGACTGATAGAGCCCTCTGTTAAAGCGGTTGCTCTTTTGTCACAATATCTGCTTAGAAGACAGAGTTTAGTTTGAAGTTACCTTGGTTATGGGATCACAGAAAAACACTGCCCCTGGGCCTATCAGTATACATAGATCCGGATACCTTCAGTATTTACTTCCGCAGATTATTTCATAGTCGGGAAAGGCTATGTCGCTTACACGTGTATGCCCTGATACTTTTCACAGCAAGGGAGCTGTCCCAACTCTCTACTATCAACATCATAGGTCATTTGTAAATATGTGAATTGGCTTGATGGCTTGATGGCCATCACCTTTGCTAGTTCTCATCTGACCTGCTATATCTGGCATTCAGGTCCGTTGCACCCGTTTCAGAGGTTTATGCGGCTCTACTTCTTCAGTGCCGGGCCCCATACTGGAGATTCATATGCTAAAAAGAGTCTTATAACACCTTTGTAGAGTTAATGCAGCATTTAGGATCCCAAACCCTATTTTGGCCTCAGCAGTTATTCAGAATTTGGAGCGTTTTATTGGTTCGCTCCAGATAAGTTTTTTTTTTAACAAGCAATACTCCATCATCTGGTATGTCGTATTTAAGTCTGGATGAGTAGGAGCTTAGTCGGAATTACTCGAGTCTTACTCGAGATCCTCGTCTGTAATAGGTTGTGGTTGGTTTCCAATAAAGCTAATTAAAGTTAATTCACTCTTTCTCTCCTTTTTTCTTTCCCCCTCTGTAAAGGACGTTCAAAGTACGTCGACTCTTGTTGCTATGGACTCGAGAAGAA